TCGTGACGATCACAGTTCGAAGCGTCCAAAACTTCTTTTGGAAGAACATAGTGTGCCGCTTCGGGTTACCTCGAGTACTGATTTCTGATAACGGTAAGCAGTTCGAGGACATTAAATTCCAGAACTGGTGCCAAGACATGGGGATCTGACACAACTTCACTTCAGTCACACACCCTCAAGCAAATGGTCAAGAAGAAGTCACGAACAGAGCCATCCTCCGTGGGCTGAAGGCACAGCTAGACCAAGCTAAAGGACTATGGGCAGACGAGCTACCCAGTGTCCTATGGGCTTACCGAACCACAGAGAAGACCGCCATCGGAGAGACCCCCTTCAACCTCACCTATGGCATCGAAGCAATCATCCTAGCTGAGATCGAGGCTCCTTCGCTATGACAGGAAGCATATGACGATAAGGCAAATGAAGACGAGCTACGTACCAACCTCGACCTACTCGACGAAGTAAGGGACCTTGCATATATCAGGACCGCAGCTTACCAACAAAGAGTAGCTCGATACTATAACGCCAGGGTCAAGAAGTGGAATCTCCGCGTCAGCGACCTAGTCCTTCGTAAAGTTATGGTACCTGAGCCCGGCATTGGCAAGCTCGGACCGAATTGGGAATGACCCTACCGAGTGAAACGGGTGCTCGGGGAAGGAACGTACAAGCTCGAAACCCTTGAAGGGAAACAAGTACCTCGGGCCTGGAATATTGTCAACTTAAGGGCCAAAATGCCGAGCTAACACGACCTCGGCGCAATAAGACCCAGTCGCCTCTGTGTCATGGGCGAACTACTGAGTAGACCACGAGTCACTCTCAGAGCCTAAGGGCCAAAAATGCCGAGCTAAAAAAGACCTTGGCGCGATAAGACCCAGTCGCCTCTATGGCATGGGCAAACTACTGAGTAGACCACGAGTCACTCTCAGAGCCTAAGGGCCAAAATGCCGAGCTAACACGGCCTCAATGCAATGAGACCTAGTCGCCTCCATGGCATGGGCGAACTCCAAGAGTGGACTATAAGTCACTCCCTCAGCCTAAGGGCTAAAACGCCGAGCTAACTAAGACCTCGACACAATGGAAGACTTAGTCGCTTCACCGAAGTATTAAGTATCAGAGGCGTAGGCAGCTCGGGTCCGAACCCTATGAAGCATAGCTCGTCTCAGTAAATTGGCTGAACCTGACAAGGAACAACCTACGAACATACAGTTCGGGCATACATGGTAATTACTTCGGGGTATACCATGAAAATACCTCAAGCATTAAGGGATAACTCGGGGTAACAGCTACCGAAAAATCTTACTTCGGGTATGTAGCTCTAACAGCTCGAGTGACAAAGTTGCTTCAGTAGAAAATAAAGACCATACCATACTTAGCGAAAAAAAGAAAAATTCCATTACTAATTCATAAATAAAAACCGAGCTTAAACAGCCTGAGAAGAGTTCAACAAGATGTAAAAAGGGCACAACCGCCCAAGAACAAGATTTTGAAAACCAAGTTCTGGCACCCGGGAACCACCATAAGTCAATCAGAAGAAAAGAAAAACAGAAGAGCCGCTTCGGTGCGTTTCTCGGCATTTGAAAAGTCAAAAATCCCCTGGCTTCCGCGCGCACATTTAATGCGAGCAGTCAATCAAGTTTGAACTTCGGTCAAATCCACCCGTCACACTTCATGAACTCCTCACGCTAAGGTAGCACTCTTAGCCCGAGGAGTGGGGGGCAATTGATGGAGGGTGATTTGACCCAACCCCTTGAGATGATGACACATGGACATGACTCAGTACGAACAACAGCTCAGCACCACAGCCTGACCGCGGCTAAGTAACAAGCCCGCAGGATAGTTCGCTACGTCATAGCTCACTATAGGGGGAGCTCGCTACAACGCGAGCTCGAGGACCTCTGATCTACTGAAAGGGAATCTCCAAGTCGATCCCAGCTCGCTCCAACACTTAGGCAGAAAAACTGCCCCAAAGGCAACCTTGAGAGGGGTCACCTCGAAGTACCCCTAGGAGCTTGCTATAAAGTAGCTCGCGACAGGGTAGCTCACTACAAGGTAGCTTGCGACTAAGCGACGCGATGCTTTCAGGAAGCTTCTATCTGACAAGACCATACCCGTCAGACTGCACCACGTCTCCTGTCTGATGGTGCAGTCCGTGCCAATTCAACAGACTGCACCCACGTCTCTCGACAGATGGTGGCGTGCCTGTCTTCCCGGGATGTGTCACTCACCTGATTGGGTAGTACCCTGCAACGATTACCTGCGCAGCCCTGGCAAATAACAGCTGCGACAGAAGCCCAATGGCGGTTACACCCGATTTGACAAGAACGCCCATATAAGAGCCCCTTAGTTGAAGGGGAGGGGATCTGATCTGATTTTTGGATCTTGAATCATCTTACTTGCTCTCGAGCTAATCTTGAACACTCAGTGATTTAACGCGACCTACACTCTTAGCCTCTTTACACTCTTTACTATTTTTTTCCCCAGCGTTCTAACTTAAGCATCGAAGTATTCCCACCGAGCAAGTCCCCCGGGAATTCTTCACCTTCTTCTCAGGTGCCATCCGTTGCCAGGTAGGAGCCAGTCAGCAGCTAGGTAGGAGTGCCCAGATTGCACAGCATCAGAAGGGGAAGAAGATGTTCCCAGTGTTAAACCCAGTAACAGTTGTTGTTGCCGTCGGGACATTCGCTAGAACTTTCATGGTTGTTGCTACCATATCCGCTGCAGTAGCCTTCAACTCTGTAGGAATTCCGACCAAATCCTAGCTTACCTCCGGCAACAGTCCATCTTTGCAGCTTCAATCTTGCATTGGCCTCTAGTACAGATCGAGGAGTTTCTGAAATCCCAGCTTACCTCTGGCAGCAGTCCATCAATGCCACCACGCCATGGGTTGCAGGGTCTGATGCAGGTTTTGTTGCAGAGATCCTCCTTCTCTTTGTCTCCCTCTTTCCGTCACTAACGGCCTTCTTTAAACCAAGCTTCGCCTGGCCAAATCAGATCTAGGTTCCTTATTTGCCGTCGAAAGGAAGAAAAAGGTAATTCCTTTCGACAGTGAGATAATTCCATATGATTGTATTTATAGCATGGTATCGATTCGGTTACCTGCTTTTCATAAAAAAATAAAGGAAAAGAAATGAAAAGAAAGAAAGAAAAAATCGGTCACCTCACCTGGGAAGTAGCATGCTCGAGGCCCTGGAAGGTAATGGGATGACCAAAGAAGACGAAGTCGCCGGAGGGGAACCGAGCCAAAGGTTTCCGACCCAAGTCCATTACAACCTCAATCAGGCGGTGGAGTTCCGGGTGTTCGCTTACCCTCCGTCGCATCTCCTCCGAGAGACAATAGGCGTCCCAATTCGACGTCGGATTCATCTTCCGCCGCGGAAGAAGAAGAAGAAACAGCCAAGAATTCCAAACCAGAACACAAGCATAAGCTACCTCTCAGGAGGTGGGAAACGTGTTTGATGAAAAGAGGGTAAGAAGAAATCGAGAAGAAATGATGTGTAAGGAGGGGCAGCTGTGTTGGTGACGTTCGAGGACGTAGAGGATGGAGGTAGCTCGGGGGAGGGAGAACTTGCTTTGGCGGGAACGCTAACATGACCACCCCCCACGCTCTCAAGAAAAGTTCAGCTTCTTTCTCTAGTTTCCGATTTCTCTGGTGTCGACTGATAGTGTGCAACGTCCGAGGAGAATTTTTGGAATTCTTATCTCGGCATGAATGAAGTTCTTGGGTGCTGCTCGCAGCTTGCCTGCTTGGATCAGGTGGAGGTTCGAATATATTAATTCGGGGAATTGGAATATCAGCAGAAGATAATTTAATATGCAGCAGTTGATAGCCATAACCGTACGTTTAAGGAACTTACTCAGATCTCGGTAGCAATAAGGGCAATTTTTGGGGTTTAATATCAATAAAAGTAATATATTTAAAAAAAATATAAAAAATATGTTAACTTTTTTAAAATAATATCAATAAAGGACAAAAACACTATTTATCATCTTTTTCTTGTCATTTGTTCATCAGAGTCGCCGTCCACCGCTGTCAGCCACCACCCGCCAGCGACGTTGCCAGAGATGGGTGGAGACAGAGGTGGCGGCGACAACGGGCAAAGGAATGACCACCAGCGTTGTTGCCACCGCCACCTCTGCCTTAAGCAACGTTGCCGGAGGTGGGCGGAGGCGGCAGCGGACAATGGCTCTGGTGAACAAATGGCAAGAAAAAGAAGATTAACATTGTTTTTGCCCTTTATTGATATTATTTTTAAAAAGTTAACCTATTTTTAAATTTTTTTTTAAATATATTACTTTTATTGATATTAAACCTCAAAAGTTACCCTTATATGCTAAAAATCCTTCCTTATTTGCTGTAGGTAAGGGTAAAATTAAGTTTTTAAAAAATAATATATGTCATCTATATACAAATTTAACGGAATATTAACGGATGAAAACGGTAAGAATAGAATTAATCAATTGTAAAAAATAATAAAAATAACATCATTCAATTTTCAAACAATAGAGATACAGTTGATTACCTAAACCATAAGGATAGTTTAAGAAATTTAGGTATAAATAAATATCAAAAAAAGAATCTTTTCATTCCAGTTGTTAAAAGTTTATCAGATGGTTGTTGGTTGAGGTTGAGGAACGTGGGAATGGAATCGGGAAGTGGGAAGTACGGAAAGGAGTGTGGGACCAATTCGGATTTGCTCTGCTCTGCAGGCCCCAGTCCTCACATCACTTACAACCGCACATCGAAAATACCTTTCGTGATCGTTCATGAGAGATATTCCCAATGCACGGCTAAAGTGACGTGAGGTTGGATGACGAGCAAATCCGGATTCGTGTCGGACTAAGGCACTGAATATGTTAGAATTTCAGAAATGAAAAAGGAGGGAGGGAGGGATGGAGGTGGTTGTAATTTTTCGGCCGAAAGAAGAAAGAATCTGCTTGTGGGTGGTGTCCGTAAATCGCAATTTCTCACTAATCGGAAGGTTTTCGGTTTTCGGTTTTCGGTTTTCGGTTTTCGGTTTTCCAGCGCAGCGCATGGCCACGCCGAGCCTTTGAAATGTGTTGACTCGAGGCCACCGCCACGCAACTCTGAACCATCGTAATAAAAACGCCAACTCGTCAGCTTTCTTTCTGTTTCCAAGCATATATAAACCCTACTCATTCTGAACTCTGATTGATCGTTTTCGTTCCTGCTATTGTGTTCCTTCAGTCTCATCATTCATTCTTTGTGCATTTCTTTCTGAGCCGTGTCCGGTGAGAGAGCGATATGGATGCACCAGACGAAAGCCCTTCTGCTAAAAGATGGCTTCCTCTCGAAGCCAACCCTGATATCATGAATCAGGTCTCAATCCTAGCCCTTTCTGTCGATTTATGTTTCTGTTATTAAGCATCGGTTACATTTTCTTGTTCTCATTAGGTTAGGATCTGAGAGCCCTTGGGATGCTTTAGAACTCAATTTCTTGATTCTCAGTGCCCCCGCAAAACTTCTACCTGTTGTGTTTGTTATAGACGGAAAGAGTTACTTTCAATTGAATCGAATGTTTGGATATGATGCAGTTCCTTCGGGGCCTTGGTCTTCCCCCGGATGAAGCTGAGTTCTATGATGTGTATGGTTTGGACGAAGAACTCTTGGAAATGGTTCCTAAACCTGTTCTTGCTGTGCTTTTCCTTTTCCCTGTTAATGCCGAGGTCAGAATCTGTTGTCCTGTCGGTTGAATTTGTGGATCTTTTTTCTTTATTCCTCTTTTCAGTTTTTCAGGCACTTGTCTTCAATATCTATTCATAACATTGAGTATGTCTTATTAAAATGCTCTGTTTGCGTAACTGAATGAGACGCCACTTGTTTCCAGAGCGAGGCAGAGAGAGCATTGGAGAAAGAGAGTGCAAAGAAGGTGAGAGTTCTTTCTGCTTTTCTTCTTTTAAGTTGATGAGTTTTACCTTTTAGTCGTGTGGTATTCTTGTCTATGATGATCCATATGAGGGTTCTTTCTGCTTTCTACCTTGTGGTTCCTACCTAATATGCATTTTACATCTTAGCACCTTGCATTGAGATTAGTTTGTGGAAGTTCTTTCTGTGTCTAAGCTGATTATCGCATAACAGTATGCAATATAATTAGTTTTCATCAAGATTCTAAAAAAAGCCAATGTTGGTAGAGATGTCACACCACCTAAAGATGAGTTTGTTAGATCCAAAAAATCAATTCTTATGAGTTTGAGCCCAGCGAAAAAAAAAACAACAGCTACAATAACAATAAAGATTAGATTTAGTTCCAGCAATTCTATGCATCCAAACTTTCTTTGAAATCATGCTAAATGTAGCCGTACCATCTTGCCTCTCAAATGAAATAGCAAAGCGACCAAGGACCTTCTAAATAAGAATTCATCCAGGATCCAGCCTATCACCACTGTGGGATCTTCTTAATTTCAAAGTTTTCTAGACCTAGAGAGTGACCGATCTTTAAAGGTTGTAGCAGAGTGTAGGTTTCTGCTTCTATGGCTGTGGCAGCCCCTTAAGGGCTGAAAGAGCAGCTATTACTGGTGAATCTTTGGCTCCTAAAGAACATCCATGAAAGTTGAGCTTTGCCTGACCCTGAAAGGGAGGGGGAGCAATCCCTAGTCAGTGGCTGCCAATGAGAAGCTGGAACTCAAATCTCAAGAAGGTTTTCTTGGTGAATGTGAATTCTGTGGCATCCAAATTCTTACTTTTATTAACTAGAGCTTGGCATCACCTTTGTTTCAAAAAGCCTGTTGTCTTGCATTTGCTTATCGTTCATTCATATCTTCTCACCACTAGCATTTTAATGAACATTAATTGGTATACCATGATCCACTTTCTGCAGGAAACAAGTGACAAAGTTTATTTCTTGAAACAAACTGTTGGAAACGCTTGTGGAACAATTGGACTTCTTCATGCAATAGGGAATGTATCTAAAGAGATCAAGCTATGTAAGTTTCTTTTGTTGATTATGCCCATGCTTTAATGTTTATATAGTACGATCCCATTTTTGTTATACCTAGATGATGTAGGAATTGATAATTCATTACCTATTTAGTGACACCAAAATCATGCAAAATGAATAAATTTTGACCCCCTAAATAATAGGCTGAAGAAATCAAGAAAATGGCATGGTTTCATCTTCAACATTCCAAAATTGTAAAACCTCTCTAGTAATGCTTTTTAAACTAATTTGATCCTTTAAAATGACTAACCATATTCCTAAGACACAACAAACTAAAAAACACCTATCAAAAGACTCAAATTGACCAAACTTAGAGAACAAAGTTGCCACTCAATGAGAAACTGGGAGAAATTTGATTTCTTTCTCCATGAATTCTTTCACTGTTTTCACCTATGCATTACTAGGTATCTTTTTCAGATCCATTGCTCATTAACTTGAGTTTTATTTTTATGGAGGGAGCCAAATTGATTGGTAGGTCTTTCAGTATTATTGTTTAGGTTGTGAGGGTGGTAATTTTATGGGTTGTTTTTGTATATCTGAGGCTTATTGGCTTTTCCCTAGGATAGGAATTAGGGTGGTTACTTGTTCCCTCACCTTCCTTTTTGGAGGTAGTCTGTTTGTTTATCATAAAGAAAAAGTAAATAAAGGTCAGAAAATGGGATAAAATATTTCAGCAAGAGATATCCTTATAGCTAAGTATTTACTCTAGATAATTTAGCAAAGCCAGCCATATACATAGCAAGGCAAAAACATGTACAGTTTGGTCAAAATCTTCAGTTCTTTAAGTTTGTTCACTGTAAATTCTCTTACTTGCTCTAGTTGTTGACAATGCCAACCAAGAGGGTAAATGGCTCAGCAATCTACTAGTTGTGAGTATGGAGCTGTTGTGTGAATCATCATAGAATAAGATGTCTCTAAGGCTTGGATGATGATGATTTTAGGAAAATACTTGACTTTAAAATAGATGTCTCCTTAGCTCAACTCAAAACCAGGATTCCTCATACCAATAGAAACAGTAAGCAGCTAGAGTGCTGTTTATTATGACTATTAGTGTGAGTACTTGTTACTGGAAACCATAACCAAACCATGCAACCCCCAATCCAATGAAACAATCTCCTGCCAAAGTTTTACAAATCAAGGATCTTGAGTAAACCCTTCCAAGCAGCATTGTCATAGGCCTTCACAAGGTCCAATTTGTGCATGACTCCTTGTATCCTTCTTCTAGATTTTACCCTGTTGCATTTGTTAGCCACAATAATTCTATCAAGTTTGTTTCTAATACAGTTGTGTAAGTGCATGCGTCTTTATGCTGTGTCATGCAGTTTAGTTGCATATGTTGGTTAGGAAAGTGGATTCACGTGTCCTTTCTTGTTAGTATTATCAGTAGTGAATCAAAGTGCAGAAGAAGTGGGATAAGCTGTGATAGAACAAGTTTCACATGTAGTTGAGTTGTGTAGTTTTAGTCAGAGTTGGATGTGTTGAAGTTTTTTTCTCTTTTTTTTTTAAATAATTCTTGTGATTCCCTGCTAAGAGGTCAAACTTTCTTAGGGTGCAACTTAGGAAGGCTCAGGTTGGAAATTTGTTAAAATTTGAATGGGCCCAGCCTGAAGGCCTGGGCCTGATATAGTGTAAATTCCTCAAATTGGGTATCTGACTTGCACCCTTCTGTCTAATTTGCTTCTACTTAATTGGAGAATCCTACATTCCTCTCTAATTGCTCCTAATCATTTTCTTTCCTTGTTTTATGTGAAAATTGGTCAACAGGATTGGAATTCTCCTCAATGAGTACACTTTGATAAGCAAAAAAAAATTACATATCCAACTATCTCCTTGAGTCATAGTAAAGTGGCTCTGCAATAATCTTTTTTAGTTCTTCCTGTGAAGCCAATAGGTTGGAATCCTCTTCAACTCCTAGATATCAGAACATAGGAAGCTGACATTATTGTCTTTATTGGTAATGGCAGACAAAAAGAAATCATCAAACAATTTCACCAGGTCCACTTTAACAAGATTTCAGAACTTTTAGGGCTTCAGTATTGGAAGCCAGCACTTGGTCACATGACTATCTGTATTAGAAGGCCATCATTCACTTAAGTCATGTGGAGCGTTAAGGAGGTAAAAAGCCTCTTTCAAACTAGAAAGCGACATCTATTTTAAAGAAGATTTGACTGATATAATTCAATGGACCATCGGTCGTGGCCAAGGACCATGGAACCTTGCACATGGTCCAATCTGATTAGAAACTTTTCATCTTGTCTGTATGTCTATTACTGATGGATCCCAAAAGACCAAAAGAGCTGAACTTAGTTGCCAAAGTCTTGGCAACATCACTACAATTTTTTTGTCTTTGCGTCAATTCTATACCTACATAAATTTAATGTTTAGTCATGTCCCATTCTGAAATGAATGGAGTCCCTTCAGTAGTCATGTCCCATTCTAAGATTTAATGAAAATCTCAGGTACCACCTGAAAAGAAAATAAATAAATAAAAACAAAGGAAGAAAGAAAAAAAAAGTGTTTGATGTATGGAGTCCCTTCGGCTCCATAAATGCTCTCATAATGGTGAGTTTGGATTGATCTGGTAAATATTGTTAGGACTATGATTGTTAATCTGAAGATGAGATGCAACTTTTTTTTTTTGATAAATGAAGATGAGATGCAACTTTTTTTTTTGATAAATCAAGATGAGATGCAACTTTTGGACTTCAAACATTCTTCAACAAGGCTTTAAAGTTGATACTTCTTTTTTTAGCTTATACTCTCTTAGGCCAAAGTTTTCATGATACAATTTTGTGAAAAATGAAAACATTTGTCTGGAGGCATACTTAGGGCATGCTTTTTTTAAGGTTTTCTTGTTCTGTCAAGAAGATTTTTAAATCATTCTCTTTCACAATGCTTATAACAACCCTTTCTTTTCCTGTGGTTTATGTAATATTTCAGTTGAGGGGTCATTCTTGGATAGGTTCTTCAAATCAACTGCTAACATGGATCCATTGGAGGTTAAGTTTCTGCTTTAACTCTGTACTAAGTTTCACTCTTCTTGCTTAAAAGAATCATGCATGCCTTTATTTCTAATTATCAGTATCTTGTTCTGTGAAGCGTGCTGCTTTCCTTGAGAATGACAGGGAAATGGAAGTTGCACACTCAGTAGCAGCGACTGCTGGTGATACAGAGGCAAGTACTATTTTAGTGGATGAGTAGACAAATTATCTCATCTTAATACAACTCTCATTGAAATTGTTTAATTACGAACTCACATCTGGAGAGGATGTGAACGTTATTGAAGGCTGTTGTCTGACCCAGGGAAAATGGGAACCACCCATGGCATACAAGTGAGGTTCCCACGTGTGGCCTACATGTTCTACTCTAATTTTTACGTTATTGTATTTCAACAGGCTCCAGACATCAACACAAACGTGGATACTCATTTCATTTGCTTCTCATGTGTTGATGGTATGTAATTTTCTTCAAGTTATGTTTTCAAGTTGTGGAAAGTAAAGAGCTTTGATAGTCGTAGTCGAATAGTTTTGCCTCTGCAAAGCAGACATTTAACCTGTAAGGTATGCTCGTGATTGATGAAATGCTTACTTGTAGGAGAACTGTATGAGCTTGATGGAAGAAGGTCGCAACCCATATCACATGGTTCATCTTCACCCAGCAGCTTATTGCAGGTAACCTATTCTGAATTTCGGTGGCATTCAAGGTTCAAAATTTCGATCAGATACACCGCGTATTGGGCATATCGTATCGTGTTTACATGTGTTTCGGGGTCCACTCTTTTTTGATAAAAAACTGTTTAAATATTTTCTCAAAAACCAAATTTTGAAAAAAAAGTTCCACGTGTATTTAAGTACTGATATATGCCTCTGCCGATGCACAAAGTCATATCGATACTACTTGTAGCCGGATGGCATTATCATTTAATAGGACACGGAAGAAATGATGGTAGCTTGGAACATCCTATTATTGATAGAGGACACCCCTGGCTAATATATCCAATGATGGTTTTCACAAAAGACAGGAATACCACTATATATTCATATCTGGGGCTTTGCTTTGTAGTTTGTACTAGAAGCTCAGGAGTACAAATACAAATATGTAGTTGGGATTGAATCTATAAATATCCTGGTTACACGAGGTGCAAAAGTTGCAAGAATTGTCTGTCTGAAACGTTAGTTTCAAGACTTGCATGCTTAGTAGGCAGAAACCTCCATGTTCCCTTCATTTATAATTTCTCTTTTCGCTTTGGAGAATGATGATGCATATATAGCTAATTGAGTTTTTATGACTTTTTTTTCCCAATTTGATGACAGGATGCGGCCAAAGTCATAAAAGCAATGATCGAGAAGACTCCCGAGTCAATAAATTTCAACGTCATTGCATTTTCGAGGAAAGTTGCGGAATCATCATAGACATGGAAGTTGAAATCTTGAAGCCTGACGCATCCATGCCTGCACATTTCATTTCCATATAATCCCGTTTTTCCTTTCTCTTGCAATTATATTAACGAGTCTGATTAGCATTATGGACCAAATGCATGGAAAAGAAATACTTGCGCTCATGTTCTTTCTTAGCACCATTTCCATTTGAGCCAGAGAGAGAGAGAGAGAGAGAGACTCAGCCCTCAGGGTTCCTCTATGCGGTGGTGTCAATCTCAAATGAAAATACAAATAATTCTTGATACAAGGTCAATTAGTAAAATATATGCAATACGCAAAATAAAACGCTTTGATTAATAAAACACTTGCTATGTTCATATTTCATTAGATAGATAAAATCTAACGATACCGAACAGACATGATACAATCCATAAATTCCGTATTTATGATACCGTTTGATTGGTTACAAATGTTTCGAATGTCATGTATTTATGTTTGATTGGTTACAAAATTTTCGACATCATGTGTCTCGAATAGAGAGATTTGTCAACACATGTCAAATTTGAGGTTCAATTTTCATTCTGTCTCATTCTTATCCGAACAAGAACAAAAATGAATAAAACAAGCCAAATATGAAATGAAAATGAGAAAAATAAAATATGATTATTTCTTATAACATTCTCAATTTTTTTTTTATCCGAAAAGAATGAGGCCAAAATATGAGACTCAAGCCTAAGCTCGAGTCATTTTACATAAAAAGAAAAATTAAGGCTTGCGAACCGAACTTAATTAAGATCAAGCTCAACTCTAATATTTAATAAATGAGCGTATATATTGGGCTCGAACTCAACTCAAAACTATATCAAACTCAATTTTTAAGCCCTGAAAAGCTCGAAAATTGTTTTGTTTCGAAAAAACAAATGTTTTTGAATTAAACCAAATTAACTATCAATCATTGGATGAAAACATGTTTTTGGAACTCACAACAAGAAAAAAATTCATATAGGGATAACACCCCCAATGGGAAGCTGGTCCCTTGATTTCAGATTTTACTTTCTTCTTCATCTTTTGCTGTAAGAGCTGTATTCCAGTTCAATAGCAGCAACTGATCCCGGCGGATCAAGAAAGTTAACCCGACCACACACCAAAACCATATGGTCTATTCGTCTCAACGTGTGTGTGCTAACTGCTAAGTACTAGGCCCGCAACAGATCTTCGATATAGGGGCAATCTTATATAAAATGTCTACAGATAAACACAATAAACACTACACACTAATTATGGACTCAAAATGTAGATCCAGACTGGTCCAAATCTGTTCTGTTGTTTGGATCCGACAGATTGAGTCTAGGACCCTGGTTTGTCTACCACGAAAGAGCTTAGAGCAGTCTCTGCACATAAATAATTGACAACAGAAACCACAAAAATGAAAAGAAAGAAACAATAATAGAAGCAACTGACAATAGCAAGAGGAACAGTCATCATCATCAACAACAACAACAATAACAAAGAAACAGAGGTAGAAGAGACACAGAAGAACAGGAGCTAGCCCAACAGTTACGTAGATGGCGAAATTTGTATACAAACTAATATTATAAAGAGGGAAGAGTTGTCTACTACTCAAAATATATATAAGTTGCAGGCTGCAGCAGCTAGCTGCTTTAATTAAAAAGTTTGGCCTTCCCGTAGCTGCTACTGGTTGAACTTACCCACCTTTTCCTTCATGTCTTTCACCGCACTCTGCAGCTTCATTTCTGCTTGATGCAGCTGGTCCGAACCGGGTGGGTGCTTTCCCGTCACGTATTGGTACAGCCACGATAACACCGACACCCCGGCTACACCCAGCCCACCAGACGTCAGGAACCCGGTTATCAACAGGGACGCAGCCATCGCCGCCGGTAACAATATGGGGCTGAATATCACCAGCAGCGGCGTCGCTAGCGTCAGCCCTATCACGGTTGCTGCTAGTGTGAGGCCCGCGAGAAGCAGAACACACCCACCGATGGAGATAGCAGCGACGGCCTTCACCACTTTTTGACAGTTTGGTTGCTGTTGTGAGCTGTTATCAGCCATGTCGGTTGTCGGAACGAGGAGATGGATCGACGGAGATCCGATAATTGGTTTTATGTTGTTGGGGGGAGATGGGAGATGGGAGATGGGAGATGGTGCCTAGCTAGAAAGGCTGTGGCTGTGTATATAACTTATAAGAGAGGTGACGCGTAGACTGAAGTGCATGAACAGAAGTTGTACGTGTTTTGAGTTCTCAATTTGCATGAAACAGGAGTGGGACACGTTTTTTTATTATTTTTATTTTTTAATTTAATTAACTAACTTGTCGTTTCTTTCCATATTACTACTGTGGGGTCTGATCAGCTCACGACAAAAATCTGTGCCAATACCTTCCAATGGTAGGTCCTAGTCAGTCTCACGATGAGATGACAGAGATCTTGTTGGGACTGTGTTGGGGCAGTTTTTGTTAATGTATTAAATTACCTGCTTAGAGCCTTAGAACCAATAGAAAGTAAGATGGATCTCCCCTCAAATCAAGACACTTGTCTCATACACGCGTGAGATTTATTAAGCATAGAAAGTAAGATGGAGGATGTAGGAGAAAAGTTAGTTGTCTATGAATGATGTATGATCTCCCTTTCACCTTTCATGTGAAAGGGAATTGATGTAGAAAGGAGGTGATGCAAATTTTGCATCACTTCTTGAAATGTAAAATTCAAATCAGTGTTATTGAACTATTATTGATTTAGGCAATCGATTTCGTTTTATTATAAATCTGGTCTGGTTTTTAGCTAAAAACTATTAAATTGATTAATAACATATTCAGACTGTTAAATGTCGATCCAGGCTAAATACATTCAAATTAAATCGTTAAACCATCATTCCAAAAACCGGTAAATCGATTTTTAAAATCTTGATTCAAACAATTGCAACATATGAATCAATCAAAAACACCAACCTCCATTTGGATGATCCTTTTTTCACCATGGAATGTGGGTTTGAACACGCAGCTGATACAAGGAGTCACATGTGTAGAAAAGCCATAGGAACACTCTATATGAGTATGTGACCAAAAAAAAATGGTGGGTCCCAATTGTATTAATCATCCAAACTTTTAATCTTTTGAAGATACCCATGTAAGGATAATTCTAACCTCTGAAACCGAAAGGGTAGAAAAGCTCCATTTTAGTAGAAAATTGGTGGGCAAACTCCTACTTTTGATCTTTCTACAGTACCCATAAAGGACTAATATATTTTAACATCTGAAAGAGTAGAAAGGTTTTCTTTCCCCCATTTTTACCCTGAAATTGAAGCTATGAGAAGAAAAAAAGGGAGGAGAAAGGAATATGGGATTCTTTTGGACCTAGAACAAGTTGCCATGTGCGAGATTCCTTATGGGGTTAGCGGAGTTAAGTTCAAATCTGCTGACCACAACACATTGCTGACCACATTTATATAGAACCATACAATATAAAAGATATTACTAATATACAGCTGGATGAATGTTGCCAGCAATGTTTGAGTGTGGTCAGTAAATCCAAACTCAGTGGAGCTCAATTTTTGCAACTAGGGAAACAATAAAAACATAAATGTACAAATTAGATGATATGTTGGATCTATAAATAATTTCTGAAATGAAACATGCATGGTGGCACAAGGACCACCATTAGAAGCCGCTCCCCCCAACACCATTATTGCCTTAGCCTTATCCTATCATCTGTACCCTGGGGATTTACCATTAATTTGTATTCTTCTGCCAGGGGAAAAAAATAAAAGAATTATGATATGCATTGATATTGTGCGGCAAAATATTTTGAAGCCAAACTTTGATATTACTTAGGGGTGGTTATGGGCTACCCACTTTCAATATTACTTAGGGGTGCAATTTGGACAGGCCCAACCTGAGCCCGGAGGGTTGTGCTTGGATTTTAGCTTTTAGGGCCTCGGATTTTTTTTTTAATAATTTATTAATTTTTAAAAAAAAATAAATTAAATCAGATCAGATCCAGAGATCTGACTTCGCGATTGGATTCAAATTTAGATCCTTGCTTGGATTGAATTGCTTAAATTGGATCGAATCTGCGATAAATAATATTGGATTGAATTCGAATATATCCTAATTTAAATCCGATCTGTTTGCATCCCTACCCATCCTGCCCACTTTCCACCCTAAATATAAATAGACAACTAATGAATGTTTGATGCAGAAGAGAACTAGGGATTAGCATCATTCATCAAACCTTATATATTGTCTTAAAATCGGTCTGCCTCTCTGCTCTTTCTTTGTTTTCTGTTCATCAGCTGTCCGGATCAAGCTCCACTTAACCTTTCCCCGTTGACATTCGGTGGATCTGTCTTTTGAGTTTTTGTCCTAAACTAAGCTGAAGATGCTATAAATCCTCACAAAATAAGGCATCTAGATAGAAAACCGAGTTCGAATCTGTACCTCACAGAACGTGCCTCACACCGACCTCACAGAATGTTTAGCCGTGCATCTAAAATATCTCCATACTATGGGAAGATGTTCCCAGTGCACAACTGAAACGCACTGTGAGTATTAGTGTGAAGTGTGCTCTGTGAATAGCAGATCTGATCTTGAAAAACAGTTGGCAGTTCTGGGTCCCATTTGGGAGGGCTGAGCTGAAGATTCAGTTAAATAAGTTTTGCTACTTTAAAGCAAGGCTCAAAATATCGATATGCCTGATACGCCGGTAGGGGCGTATCGGGCATTTTGATACTTATTTTTTTATTTTTTTTTTCAAAACTGGTTCAGGGGAGCCGGTCTAGGACCCCTCCATCCACTGAACCGGTCAGACCCCCGATACACCCACTGTAGGGACGTATCAGAAGGATCTCGGAATGATACGTATCGGCCGATACGGGCCGATATATAAAGATAGTTTGAACCTTGCTTTAAAGTGCTTCTAATAAACTATTTAAAGATGCCAAAACAGGGTTTATTTTTTTTTTTGCCGAAAATAATTTATAGGCTGTCTGTGTGGGGCCCACCTTTGGAAAGCTAGAAGCAGCTGCACTTCAGCCCTCTCAAACGGGCATTGGGACTCTGGGAACAATGTTCAGAGTATCAATACGGACTGATTTTTGAACCCACCAATATATTTAATGCTCCAAATTAGGACTCGCTCTATACTTTGAACCTTGACCGGGAGCTCAACCACCATGAGATTTTGCTTGTACCTAAGTTTGATCAACTTGATCTAGATATTGCTATTTTAAGAGTTTGTCCTTGTATTGTTACAATTTGGTTTTTCTTTTCTTATCAAGTGGATAAGTGCAAATGAAAACGGCAGTAACTGTAATCATAGATTTATGTGGTTAAACAGTCGATTAGTTTCCTGTGTTGAATGGTCTGACCGTTTAAACCGAACAGACAGTCCATTTTGACAAAAAAAATAAAAACTGATTAAACTGTTGAATAATTCGAACGATTTCAGCAGTTTGCTGACCAAATCAATAATTTTTGGGAAAATAATAGTTCTGGGGTAAAACAGTACCAGTCACCTAACCAGTTCCCGATTTTCCCAATCCGACCATCCAGTCCAATCCGATTTTGAAAACCATGGTACAAATACAAATATATAAAATGCAAACATATTTAAAAATAATATAAAATACAAGGTTTTGCACTCAATATATTTGTATTTGTACTCCTTTCAAACTGAGCTTTTAGATTAATAAAACTGTTAATTAATTTTGCGTCATTGGATGTTGTGTCTTTTTTAAGTACAAGGGCTACCTAATGCATTTATGAATCCACCAAACATAATATTCAAGGTGTAGTTTTATCATTTATTAATTAAGGGCCATTGCTCAATTATGGTCCTGATTACCCGGGGTTTTAGGAGGGCTAACAGTGGATTGGATAAGAGCCTAACCTTCACCTTTTCATGCAAAATATGGCCACTCTTAGGGCCCATTTGGAGGGTTGTGCTGAAGGTATGCACTGGATAAGTTATTCAAATAGGCTGATTTGGACAGCCATTAGAATGACTGACAGCCAATTTAAGCTCTTGAGATTTTTCACCAAACAGAACTAACTTATATATAGGCTGTCCATGTAAGGCCCACCTCAAAAAGGCCAGAAGCCTGCTGCACTTCAACCTCCCAAACAGGCTTTCAGGCTGCAGCTTTTGGCTTTATGAGATGGGTCCAACCTGGACAGCCTATAAACAATGTTAAGGTGAAACATCAAGAAAGCCCAAATAAGCTGTGGTTTCGTAGGTAAAATAAATAGTAGTCTTTCGGGCAAAGCTTATTCTAGTAGCTTCTTCAAAATAGCTCAATCAAAGCTCCAAACCTCCCAAATAGGCCTTCAGATTTGAATCTGCATTCTCTTGTCGGCTCAAGAATGCGCTGCCGATCTGCTCGTTATATAGCTGGAACTCTAGTAGGGAAGCGCCAACTTTCATTTGCACATGTATCATAAAATTGCTTACCAATTTCATACAGCTGGTGCATTCCTACAGTTGATCAGACTAAAGGCCCGTTCGTTTTTTAGATTTTGATAAGGGTAAAAGTTGAACAATGAGATTTGGGTTTCCATTGACAAGTTATACATGTTCTTTTGCAGATTTATGTGGAGTCTATGGAAATTTTATTAGACAAGTGATACCCATTTCTTAAATAACTTTTCCCACCTTAGGGGGAAAATTGCCAACATTTGGATGGAACAAAATTATCCCCTGTAATAATGATTTTTTATGGCTAAAACGGTCGTTATCTTATTTATCTGGGAAACAAAAGAACAAAAAGCGAATGGGGGGCCTAAGAAATAACAAGTAGATGTCATCCCCAACAAATGGCCCCTTAATCAATTATTATATTTATCAACATTTTATGACAAATATAATAAATGTATGAAGAGCATATTATCTCCTAGAATCCAAGTATATATCCAAACTCCAAAGTAGTACAAACCAAGGCTTTGGGTTTGTCCATTTGAAAAGCCTTGATCTTGATCAAAACCCCAATACATGGAATAGAAGGTTTTACACGAGTCCGGATCTCCTGCCCATAAAAACTGTCAATGTCTACACATATAACATTGCAGCCACACATGGAGAACATCTCATCCTCCTACGTAGTATTATGCATGGAGAGATGTTCCCAATGCACAGGATAGTGTTTTGTGGGTAGACGTGGGCAGGAGATCTTGAGTTGTTTTATGCCTATAGATTCGAGGGACTCCTTAGCTACCAACTGCCATTTCTCCTTTTTTCTTTTTTTTTTTTTTTTGGTTCATCTGAGAGAACTGCCATTTCTCTATGCTTGCAAGTATACAAAAGCAGGAATCTCAATGAAGGGGGCACACTGCACCTGCACCCATCAAATTGCACTTTTTAAAGATGGAAAACATAAAGCCATTGACTCATGAAGCCAAGTCAAGTATAATCAATCACAAAATGGCCCAACTTTCCAAAGAAAAGATAGGTAAACAATCTACTGTTGCAAGCTTGCAACAAGGATAGAGCCAAATTTCCAGTCAGGGTATCCCACCTACCCTACAAACAGACCAACTACACTTCCATGCAAAATGGGGCCGATCAATGCATTCCACATTACTTTCTCATCAATCATCCATGATCCATGGGTGAATGGTCATGGTCCCCATTTATACTCACAAGTCTGTCTCCACGCTCACAGTCTCACCTTTGGCTTCTCTTGGCTTTTCATTTCAGGTAAGGAGGTGCCCTAGTCTTTAAATCCTTGTCGTAAGTTCACCACCGGCACCCACATCATCATCAGGAAATAATAATATTGGATCACCTTCCATTTGCTTAGCTTTCTCTCTACCATGAATTGCTAAAAGCATTGAAGAAAGGACACCCATATCATATACAACCATTTACTGTTCAACCGTGAAGGCTACGGAGTTAGGTGTCCAAAATTATTGCTCCAGAGTAAACCAAATTACCTCAATACATGGACCAACTGTAACAAGCCTTGTATTGGCATGGGGCACGCACTCAAAAGATTATATTCGCTTCTCTGAATTGTTCCATCGGATCCCACCTGTGTCTACGGTCAATTTTCTATTACAAGTGCAACAGGATAAACTAATTAATCAACAGAGAAAGAGAAAGACATGAATCCAAGGCTACTACTAGAAAAAATTTTACAGAGAAAAATCGAAAACAAAGCTATCTGAAAAGAAGATGAAATGATTAGTGAATTAATTACAATCCAAGTAAGATGTGATTTTATAAAACGAGATGAAGACATTATTTGTGAACATTCCTGTCTACAAAAAGTTGTCGAGAAATCATATTTGTCAGGCTCTGAGCAAGAACAACCAAGCAGATGCACTTACTGGTCCTTGAGTCCTTGAGTAAAGAAATGGGAAACATCTTAATTGTGTAATCGTTGCTGTGAAGCGTACGTCTTCTGAATCATGATTTCAAGAGGTCGACCTCAAGCAAAGACCTGTTTTAAATGTGTCGGACTGAAGCAGAAGACTTTGTATCTGAATAGCCAATTTCAATTCATATCATTGATAATTGCTTGATTTGCTTCGAAGGATACATGATAAAGGAAATGAATCAGCATGTGAAAATGGAGTTGTTGGAAGCGTTTGATAAGACATATAAAATTACAAATTGGACCACATTTATATTTTATGCAGAAGAGGAGACAGTTATGTGTTTCTGCCCCCCCCCCCCCTAGGCCCTTCCTCTGCTTCACGAGCCAGCAGTTCCTCAATTGAAAATACAGAAATGGTTGTCTATTTTTTTTTTCTTATTGTCTGCACTCTGCAGTGAACTAATAATAAATATGGGTTGACCCATTACAACCTGTTATTAGTGTCGGGTTTGGCTGACACAGTAGAATGAGTTGGCTTCAGTCCATTCCAACTTCCAATCATGCTGAACTTCCAGACTAGCTGTAACTAGAAAGATCAGACAATGTAGCCCCACGCCAACCTGACCCAGTTGTTTTTTTTTTTTTTTTTTTTATTGCCTTCAAGTCTGCATTTCCTCAATATCCACTTCATTGGAATTAAGTTGGATTAGTCATTGGTCTTGGAAGAAGAAGAGAAAGCAAAACCATTTTAAAGAAAAGACTTCAACAATTCAACCTTCTTCAGTTCTATTATTATTTCATTATTTGTGAAATGAAGAATCATAAAGATTAGGAAGAAAAAATGGGGGAAAGGCCATATATTTATTAATCGGCTCAAAAAGTCAACCTCTCTTAACAACTCAAGCAATTTCCTGTACAACAAAGACCCCCTCTCCTTCAAAGAAGATAAAATTCCTTTATCTACACAAGTAAAAAAAAAAATAACAGAATGCCTGGAAAAATCCAGCCTTTGCTCATCTAATTTACCTCAATAAAAGGACACTGCATTATTTACTTATTTAATATTATAGGAACGTGTACATACCACCTCAAGAGCCTCGGTAAATAACCCTGAGAATCCAGTCATTGCCTGGAAAACCCCTGGCAACCCTGTTTGTATGTTATTTAGTGTCATCGCCCTTGTCACCTCAATTGCCTTTGCATGTTTCATCATCTCATCCTCCACCCGCCTTCGGCAGGATGCAAGCTCCAACTTCTTTTCGGCAAGGGGATCTCTTGCATCCAAAACATGCCCATCAGACCCACCTTCTGGAGGTGCAATGCCAACCATTGAGTAGGAAAGATAGAACTTTTTCTCAATATTGCGGAGTGCTAGAGACTTTTTCTCAAGATCCTTTGAGGCTGTCTCTGTCCGCTTTTTGATCTTGATCTCCTCAGTTTGCTTCACAACAATTGCATGTACTACATTAACAAAGCTCTTGATGGCTTCAGATGCTACAGTGTCAGGAAGCCGGTCAAGGGCCAATTTCCATTCATCGCAGAAGGTAAAGAGATCAGAGTTGGCCTGGACAGCAAGGGATGCATCTTTGCTACCACTGATGTTGTCATCACCAACAAGAATGTAAGAGAGCTTAAGCCAACCATGGAGAGATCGGATATAGTCACGTTGATATTTTACTAGACGGCAGAAGTTGGAGTGCCAGGCAGACACAGTTGACTCAAGGTGGCGAGTTGCTTGCCGGTGGAGTTCAGAGGTTGATTCCCCTTTGGTGGCTTGGTTCACAAGGCCCCTTACTTGTTGGACAATGTGGTACTGGATCTCATGGAATTGGTTCATGTATCTCCACATGTACATGAGCCTGCAATACATACATTAGAAAAATAATTAAATAGCATATATAATAGATCCAGATGTAATGCATGTCCAGAGGTGGCCCAGACATGGTACACAACGCAAAACCATCTATGTAGAGTCTACAACCAATGTCTTATATCGGTTATATGTAGAAAAGCACATAAGAAAGGCCTAAGATAGGCTAGTTACATGTATCTAAGATCCATATATTAACACATATCCTACCATCAATTATTTTCCAAATTCCACTTCCATTAGAAAGGCTAAGATCCTAAAATAAATCTTGTTCAGTTCTATGCTCCATCCAAAAATGCTTATCTGTATTATTCTACATATCTAAACAGGAAAGTTTTAGTAGTCTGCTGCAAGCCTGCAAGCAACATACAAGTTTTTTTGGGTCAAGGGCCAATATGGCCCTTTTATATTCACATGTTCTTTACATGTGAATATAAAATCATGTGCTAAGTATACATCCAAACATGCATACCAATCATGTGAATATAAAATCATGTGCTAAGTATACATCCAAACATGCATACCAATTAATGTGGGTTAGAAATTCAGGTCCACATACAAGGTTTTTTTTTTGGGGGGGGGGGGGGTGTCCACACAAGAATGAATGACTAAATGAACAGACTAAATCCAGTGGCATGTCTAAACAGTCTATCACTCCAATCTCATTTGCAATGTGCAACAAGTAATATATGGAAAAGGGATAAATTATGAAGGATCAAGGATATTCAATCTCTGTAATGCTAACTGTGCACTTCCATGTTGCACCCACTGATTGTAAGCATTGAATTTCTGGAGCATCTCTAAGGGGCCATTTGACAACAGCTGAATGGAATGAATTATTGTTTTGCCTTTTAGTGATTAAGTTTTTTATGGAGTTAGTGAGCTCCTTGGTGGCAGAAACTGAAGTTGGGTTGATTACAATACCTTAAAATATTTTATTATTAATTATTTCATCCACCAAAAGACAAAGCAATAAGTTAGTTAGTTAAGCTACTTCAGCCATTATCAAATAACCCCAAAGAATTCCCAAGAATCTAATTACCTGATCAGTGTATTCTGCCATAGCATTACTGCTTTCATTAACTACCTGAAACCAGTTCACCACTACTGCCTTAATGAATTGGATTGAAACAAATATATCTAGATCCAAATTTGTTTGTTAAAATTTGGATTTGAATCGAATCTTATCCATAAGGTTTAGATTGGACCCAGGTCAGATTCAAATATTGAATGCCATTTGTAAATTAAATAAAAGATGATCAGAAGGAACAAGGAGCATCAAGCATTTGGTAATATTGATCAATCTCCTCTCCCTTGCAATGATGAAGAAAAGGCACAACTAACAACATATCTTTTTTGTCTAGAATTTTTAGGCTTGTTGTTGATTCTTAAGGGGTACAATATGTCATTTAGCAAAAAACGAGGTTATTTTTGAAAATGAAAAGTTATAAACACAGAGATCTAATAAGTTGAAATAGAAGAGTTTTGAACTCCTTATTCTCAATGGCACTTCATTCCTTTTTCAGTCCAAATAAAGACGTTAATAGTGTGCTGACCTCTAATCAGACTTTTCTCCTTATCTTAACCAAAAAAGAAGAGAAGTTCTTAAATTAAAAAATGCTAAATGCAGCCTTAACCTATGGCTTTTTGTTGAATATGCAACATCCAAATCTATTGGATTTACTAATAGATACCATACTAATTTTATCAGATCATATCAGACAGGATTGGGGAAGATCCATTTTCAATCCGATTATAAACAGATCAAATTCAGATCACCTTATCAGATTGGATTCAAATTCTAATTCAGACAAACAGATACTGTTTGCGGCCCTACCGGCTTACTAGAATTATCTAAATGGCAGAACTCCGGCATTCATACAACTTATCCATGTGGTCAATCCAAATTAATAAACATGTGCCGAGATGCAAATGACAGAGCTGACTTAATACATTGTTCAGCTTGTACTCTACCCACAAAAGCATCCAATGCAGACAATAGAAGAGAAACCAAAGAGATTTGAGTCATACCCATGACAGAGCTCGACAAGTTGCGGGGCAAGCTCTTTGTCTCTGAGCTGAATAATTTCAGAAGAGGTGGTGGACACAGCTTGCGAGGTGACAATGAAAAGTGACTGAAGCCTGTTTATTGATGCCTTGGTCTTGTCCAGCTTTGCTTCCTGCCCCCTGTACTCCTGACTCTGTAGCAATGACAACTTCTTGTCATGCTCGAGCTTCACTCCTTCTCTAGCCTATTAACACAGTCACCACCCAGGTTACATAAACAAACTGCACTCAGCAAAGTCAAATGACTCAAGGATGTATTTATCTTTGGGTAGTCTAGAAGGCTAAAACCCAGAAGAGGGAAATCCAACTGAAATCAGGTGTCCCATCTTAATCAGAACCCCTTTTACCCCTTCAAAGAGAAACCAATAGTACAAAGACAACCTCTCACAAATCAATAAGCATTGAAGAAGGTGCAGCCCTGCAACTGGTGTGCGGACAAGGGTATTTCAATCACTTGGCCGTGGAACAAAGTCACAAACACCAGTACTTAGAACAAGATCACAAGGAAGAGCAAAGCACAGTACAATCACCCAGACCCAGGCAGTTATGCAGTTAGAAAAGGCCGATGTAGAAATTCTAGCCGTTTACTAGGGGCATTTTGGTCCAAATACCACACGGAGCAAACCTGTTTGACGTCATTTTTACGCAAATAATGTTGCTGCCTTGGTGGTTATGATCGTCATTTTCGTCAAATGTGAAGGGGATTTTGGTCCGAATTGGAAGTAGTGGAAGACTGGAACTGGAAGTGGAAGATTAAGGAAGGCGAGAAAGAAGAAAGGAAAACTCATGAGAGAGAGAGAGAGAGAGAGAGAGAGTACCTTCACTTCTTCGTAAAGTTTCTTCTCCCAGGCCAAGAGCCGCTCCATCGTCGAGCAGTGGCTCTTTGGACCGCCCGATTCATCGAGCGAACCGGCGTCCAGCCGGTACTTAATCGCCAACGGTGGCTTCGAAGTCCAGGTAGAGCTTAGGTTACTCAATAAACTACTCGAGTGGTACACAGTTTCTGCAAAAAAAAAAAAAAAAAAAAAAACATCAACCAAAAATAAGTCAAGAACATCTGTAATTTATATTAAACTCTTGAAATCAAGATAAAATTTGAAACCCTAAGAAGCAAATTTCGATCAATTTGATCCGAAACCCCTAACTTACTCTTCAATTGCTTGAAACTCCGGTCAAGCTGAGCACGACCAGTTTCTAGCAGTTCCGAGACTTGTTCGCCAGCTGTAGCAGCCTTCTCGAAGTACTCCTTGATCGCTGCTACGATCTCTGCTAGATTCCGATGCTTAACAACAAGTCTCATATCTTGGATCTCGCCAGTGCCGGCATTCCAACTAACCGAAGATCCAGCATCATCGGATTTCTCTGATTTCCCCATTGGAGCGTAATTCGACTTCACCGTGGCTTCTTTGTGAACCGAAGATCCAAAATTCGATCTTGAACCGATCTCCGATCTCGTGTCTCGGTCTCCTTCGTTGTCGTTTTCGGATTTCGTGTCGGAGCTGGAGGAACTGTAGTGATCGCCCCATTCGCTGCAATGTACTTCCTCTCTATCGGTTCTTTCGTCGTCGTCGTCGTTTTCGTCGTGGTCGAGGTGATGGTGGCTGTGGTCATGGTCGGATTGGTTATCGTGGTTGTGGTCAGAATGTTGGTCCTCGTCTTTGGGGCGCCGGAAGAAGTCCGAACCCGGAGGGGAGGGAGGGTAAAAATTCTCCCAGTTCCAGACGGATGAGGCTTGAGAGGGAGTGCTGCAGTAGGTGGAGTTCGCCGGGAAATTAAACGGGTAATTATATTTTGCGGCGGGCTTTTGACGGGGAGTAGAGGAGGGGCTTGATTCAGAGAGGATGTGAGGGAGCTTTGAGCTTGCAATAGTGGGAGATGAAGAAGGAGAGAAAGGCGGGGGTGGCGGTGGTGGCTGGGGAGACTGAGGTGGCGGTGCTCGTAATGGCGGAGGTGGCGGTGGCGGTGGGCGGTAAGAAGAGATTGAAGGATGGCGAAGGAGAATAGAGGGGGTTTGTTCGGCTACAGAGAGGGGTTCTCCAGCGGCAAAGTCGGCGAGGGCAGAGCCAGTGAGGCGAAGAGAGCGTAGATAGTCGGAATGAGCGGAAGCGAGGTGGTGGCGGGCGTAGACAGCCTCCTTCATGAGGCGGCGCCGCTCCTTGCATCTCCTTACAGTGTCCTCGTTGTCTAGCTTAGACGCCGTGCATCCCATAGCGGTGGGCGGTTCTCGGACGTTGGTGGCGCCTTTTTTTCACTGCTCGCGCCCGTTCCGACTATTGCAGTTCTTTCAGGGAGAAATGAGATGAGAGCATCAGAGGACTCAAACCAATCCAAACATCCTATATTCTCTCTCTTCATGTCCCACTCTCCTCATCGATACTTCACTTTTCTTTCTCTCTCCCCTCTTCACCTCTTCATCGGTCAAAAACAATTCATTCTACTACAAACACTAAAGGTTGCTTTTTTGTTTTTACTTTTTACTTCCATAATTTTAGATTTTCCTTTTGTTTGGGTGGACCGTGGACTGACCCCCTTCCGATCTCGGCCGTGCAAATAAGAAGACCCCACCAACGTGATTGGGTGAGATTAACAGAACATGAACAATTAGGAAGAGAGAATTAGTACGGTACTGTGGGCGTTGGAAGTTGGGATGTGTTTGTTCCCTTATTTATATACATATTTAAGCATACTTACACATGGATACTGAGATGACCAATCAAAGCCACCGTACCAGAGGAGTATACAAAAATACCCAATACACAGACTATCATCAAACAGATCGACGATTCAGATTTGCAACAGTATCCACAGACCCCACGTGGTGGTAGAACCTCAACTCCGAACTCCGAACTCCGAATCCGCTGGCCATCGAAGAGGATATGCTTAAAACAAAAGTCATTTCTTTGAGTAAATAAATAAAATAAATGCAGGTTGAAAGCTGTCTTTTGTTTATGTTTTCTGCTTTTCTTCCCCTTTTTTTTTCTTAATTTATTTATTAGTGGTAAGTGGTAACCTTTCGTGTTTTCGCTTTCCAGATTTCCATGGCGAAAGGGAAAGACGGCAAGGCAAGGCAAGCCGCGAATCCCTGATAGAATTGAACCGGAATTTTCTTTAGACCCAAGACCGGTCAAAGAAGTATAACCCGGGTTCTTCTCGCAGCTAGCTTTGCAGTACACTAAGGGGGAGAATATGCCAATCGGGTGATGCTAAAGTCCTCGGGAGTCCAGATATGTTTGGCAAAGGGACTCTTTTGATATATAAAATAACTTGTGGTGTGAAAAATAATAATTGAAATATTATTTTTAGGTGGCTAATAAGTGGCAACTTTTAGTAAAAGCAAAATAGAAAGGAAGAAAGTGAAAGAAAGAAAGACAAATAAGTAGGAATTGGATTGGAAAACGGTGAAAGTTGTGTTGGAGGAACAGGGAGGGGAGAGGGGAGAGGGGAGAGGGGAGAGGGGTGAGTGATTCATCTTTTTCTCATCCATCCGTGGAGAAGGGGGGGCCATTGGGCCGGCCAATCACTACCACCACCACATGGCAGTGGCACATGCACATGCACTGCCCCTCTTTTTCTTTATTCTTAGTTTTATTTGTTTCGGATGCAAGGCGGGTTTCTTCGTCCAGGATTAGACAGATAGTCCACTTTTTTTTTCCACAGCCACCCGAAAGTCCGAAACCGTTTACGTTGATCATCCACATTAACAAGTTAACAAGCCTCTCTTCTCTTATCATCATCATAGATGATGCTTCAACATTTTAGGATTTACCTTTGGAATTGATTTGATTGATTGTCCAGCAGTTCAGCCTTGGGTTTTTACCGGTCCATGACCATGCTTCTCTTCTTTTGCCTTTTTCTTTTTTCACATCGGAGAAGATGAAGAAGAAAACGCCCATCATTATTACATGGCGGAGTGTTTGAAAGACGTTGCAGGTTGAAATGAATAGTGCATCCCGTACCGATTGATTGAATCATTGAATGATTGTGATTGAGACTCTCGGCAATCGCAATTGAGAGGCAAGCAAAAGTTTTTTAGCCGCAGCGTATTCCTTCAAGTTCGTTCAACAACATCATCATCAAACTTCAATATATAAAAGAGAGAACTCAAAGCCAGATCTCGTTTTATCAAATTTTTGGGGCCAGGCGTGGTTCTACGCCAGAAGAAGAATGCGACTTCACGTAACGTAAATAATAAAGATGAGTTTCTCCCCCACCTCTTCGATCAACTGCCGCTATGGCAGCAACCGAAGTCCGAAGAATAGAATTATTACTTATTAAAGCCACTTGTAGGAGACATCATCTCTGATCCAGCGCCAACCAACAAGAGGGACATGAGAGATGGGGTGGCTGTGGCTGTGGCTGTGGCCGTGGCTGTGGCTGTGGCTGCACTGAGAAGAGAAGATGGTAGACAACCAGACAGCCAATTGTGTAATGTTGCAGTTAAAAAAAAAAAAATGGTGTGCTATACCGTACAGGTGCAGAGTGCAGTTCAGCCAGAAGGGCATAACCGTCCGCTTCGATCATCAACATCAGACAGTCAAAATGGCATTTTTGTTAATTCCATGCATGAAAGTAAAGGCATAAAAAGAAAAAAAAAATAAAAAAAAAAGGAAGAAATCCAGACAGATAGTCTAATACCCCCTTCTTCGCCCACGAACGAATGATGATGAATGACAAAACAAAGAAGGAAAAACCGAAAAAACATACGTCAGTCGTGGTGTGGGTCCGACACTCTGTTTTGCTAACCAGCTAGCAAGAATGGTCGGGTCGGCAGCAACGAAAAGAATACAACTCACATTCACATACTATAGAATATAGATAGAGATATAGATTCGGGATACATCCAAACCCTCCTTTTGGAACCTAGCTACCCAAACTACTTGTCCAGTGTACTTTCTTACTTGTCCTTCCCATGAGCTGGCACGTGGCTCTCATACCCAGATTTCATTTCATCAACCAAAAAATTGGCATAAGAAGCACACAAACCATAACCTATATAAAAGCTTCTGTTTGCTTTCATAGAGATGGAGGAGCGGTAGGCGATGGAGTGTTGCTACTCGCACGGTCATCAGTCCTACGGAACCCGAAACCCCCAAACAACCCCTGCACATAGAGAAAAGAAAATCAGAGTTGCAAAACACAGCACAGACGGACGGGCACGGGCAGACAGACAGAGAGAGAGAGTGGGACCAAACCATGGCGTCGTTGATTGCATAAACCACGCAGTAGTGTTCCTGAGGCAAACAATTTTGGACAAAAAGAGGTTCTTATCAGATTCAGAACTGAAGGCTGAAGCAATTCTGCAGACGTACAAGCTTAACATGGACTCAATGGGTTTTCCTTCCAGAGTTGTACTACATTTTAACCGGAGGCATGGCACCAAACCCAAGTGTAACTGCCAGACCTCATCGGCAGTGGAAATGTGGAATGAATGACCATCTCCAACCAACTGACAACTTCCAGTTGTAGTTGTGTGAGAGATCCATGACCCACAGTGTGGGGCCCATGTTAGACAGAGCCATCATGGTGAAGATTGCACACCCACTAGTACGCATCCTTAATCAGAACCGTTCGATCAGTTATCTCCTTACATTAGTTTGGAGTTCATGGGCATATTTCTATGATATTTACTTCGGTAAGGACTTGAGGAGGAATGCTGCTGTGCTATTAAACAACCAGTTTTATGCAACTCTTGCGAAACTTCGCCCCTACACACCCAAGCAATTGTCTGTAGCGCGAAGAAAACTGGGAGTTGGCATAAAAGTCGTTGTTTACTACAACTCCTTGATAGAAGGAAGCAATCGTTTTTTTTTTCCTCGGACTACCATTTCTTCTGTTATTTATGAATGGAAAGAACTGTAAAATAGGTATGACTGCTTAGCAGCATGACGGTACCACACTTTTTCTCCTGTCTTCTTTTTTTTTATTAAAAAAAAATATTTGTGGGCTTGCCTGCATCATGTGCCACTCTTCAAATTCATCAAACAATTCAAGCCGCTCTATCCTGATCCATGAAAAAAAAAAGAAAAAAAGCAGATGAGAATCTTCAACTGAAGGTTTCTTAAACGTTTTGCTTTTACAATTGAATGACATCCAAAGAACAAAGAAAAAAGCAAACCCATAAAAAAATTACACAGGAATTAGGATTTTTAAATGTGAAACTAGCAACTTTGGGACATCAAAAGCAGGCAGTAGTTTACCAACGTCCAACAATAACGTTAATCAACTTCTCAAAGACAAGCATGGAAGGAAACTTTCAAGGATTCTCACAAGATTGCCAAGGCAATTCCATAGTGGAAGACAAGTCAGACAATAATGGAGGGTGGGGAACCACCAAGAGTTGGACAGAGGGATGACAAACAGAAACAAAATTCAGCAGATGCCTTCCTGCCATGTAACCAAGTTTTCCCAAGACATGACCAAATAAGAAGAAAGATAGAAGCAGAGATTGTAATCAGAAATTAGGTTTTCCTTGGCCATCCAAACGAAATTTTATCTGACTTAGCCGTTGGATTTTAATTAGATACAGTATGTCAAGAGTTGTAGGGCCATGTGCTTTGCAAGGAGCTAAGCATAAAAGAGGACATCTAGACACAGGTATTCAAACTTGGAACCTCAAAGATGCGACTCTGAGTGATTGAGAACCTGTTGGTAGTTCACTGAAAGTCAGATAGACAGAGTAATGAGTTGGTGAAAATGCATATAAACCTAACAGTCAAAATGTGAAGACTACCATCTTAACCCAGTCCCATCTTGATGAGGTGGTGACAGAAGTGGGAGAAATGCTATTTGTGAGGACACAGATTTGGGAATGCCATGGTTTGAGCTTCCACCAGAAAATGATGGGCACTCACAGAGTCCTACTAAACAGGTTACAGGTGATCCGTGATCTACACATTCCGGGTAATTGTACAAGTACGAATCCACTATAAATACTAGCACCAGGACTCGTCTTGAATACCAAGAAGATACTGGTAATAACTGGGGCTAATGAAGAAAAAAATGTTGAAGTAATGCATACATATCAAGGAGTTATATGTTTCCTTTGTTGTTTTCAGAATCTTGTCATGTGAAAGAACATGCTATATCCAGACACAGGTTTATCCAAGAAAAAAAAAAAAGATTATTCTCACAAGAAAAAGAGAAGCAAACGGAATACTAAAGCAAGAAATCAAGGAGTTTTACCTCATGAGACAACTTTATAAAGTGATTAAATGAAAAATGGAAATCAATGAGGACCAGGAGATAGTGTTGACCTATGATGATGCACACAGGTAAAATTTTAATTTTGTTATCATCAGACACATGCCCATTGTTCCAGACAAGTTTTATTGATGGGGAAAACAAATGTTCAAAACCAAACATAGATCAACCCTGGGCATCGAAACTTTACCTTTGGGTCTGTCTTCCTGGCTTTCCCAAAAGTAGGTTTTTGTACCACATAATTGATGGCCAAATACTATATTTCTTGGATAATATCAAATACATGAGGTGGCACAATAAATGAAATCCCTATACAGGAGTAAGCAAAACACTTTCAGCAAAAAGCATGTTTAAACTGCAATTCCCAAAAGTTAGTTGTATGGATAGTTGGACGATGTACATGCATACGAGCAGCTAGATTGGATGTATAAAGCTTTTATTTGGAGTCATACACAATCACAAGGCTATAATATATATATATATAAGCCATTGATCATAATCATGATTAGTGATCCCTAAAGTTTGAAACAGATCGAAAGCTGGATTGGGTCTAATAACTTTTATATGGAGGTCTTGTTCTGATATACCCCACAAAGAATTAGAAAGGATACAAAATAATGACAAAATGGTGACTATAGAGGTATGACCAGTGATCTTGATAGAAAATTCCTTAGGGCTCTGTTTCAACATAAATGGAGGGAAAATTTTCAGGCTGAAATCAGCGTTTTAAAAGCGCAAGGCGCAAAATTATAAAAAAAAATGCTAAAAAATCAAAAACAAAAGTCAGAAATTTCAATAAATGCCAAAAATTCAAAAAAAAATCATAAAATACTAAGCATAATATTAATAAAAAATATAAACTTAAATTTTAAAAAAATGTTCTAAAAAACCTATTATCTAAAATTAAAATGCAGAAACATAAGATGTAATTATGTAAAGCATATTCAAATGAGAATTTAAAAATAAAATTGAACATATAAAACATTTTCAAGCATTTAAAACCTCTAATCTCTTTTTTCACTCAATTGCATTACTTCACGTAGTTAATGTAATGTAAAACATATTACATTCCTGATTCTAAGAGCCGCCTTTGTGCCACGCCCCTCGAGGTTGGGAAAATCGGGCTTGACCTCGGGCTCGGGCCTTAAGCCCAAATTTTAGGGCCGGGCCTAGGTTGACCATAAACCCGGCCTAACCCGCCCGACTTGCACCCTACTCTCATACAATTGTGGGCTTACTTGTCATTGGGAGGAAGAATCACTCTCATTAAGAGTGTTTTGGCCAGTCTTCCGTCATATTATCTTTCTTTGCTAAGGATTCCAACGGAAGTGGCCATGAAAATCGAAAAAGCTCAAAGAGACTTCCTATGGGAAGGAGTAGGGGGAGTTAAAAAATTCCACTTAGTCAAGTGGGACAAGGTATGCAAACCAAAGGAAAGCTGATGAACAAAGCACTTATAGAGAAGTGGTTGTGGAGGTTTGGAAGGGAGAGAGAGGGAGACTTTGTCGAGAAGGGTGGTTGTCGGGAAGTATGGTGTGATAAGATTTGGATGGGAACCGAAGGAACTGAGGAGATCCTATGGGATGAATGTCTGGAAAGGAATTATGAGCTTTAACCAAGAATTCAGGAGTTTCATCAAATTTAGAGTAGGGGAAGGCTCGAGGGTGAGGTTTTGGAAAACGAGTGGCTGGAGATAGGAAAGTTAAGTGAGGTGTGCCCAAGATTATACAAACTAACAGAACACCAAGTCTCAATAGCTCAATGTTATGAATCGAGAGGGGAGCAACTGATTTGGAATCCAAAGTTCAGAACATTGCTAGACCAAGAAGTGGAAGAATGTGTACTATTGTTGAAAAAGTTAGAAGGAACTAACATTTCAAGATGGTCTTTGGTGGAAGGAATGTAAGGAGGGTAGATTCACAGTCAAGTCATTTTACAAAGCATTAATCAAAGAAGTGGGAGGATCGGTTCAGATAAAAAAAGTTTGGGCCCCCAAGGGTAGAAGCCGTTGCATGGTTGGTGGCACATGACAGCATTCTCACTACTGATCATCTGAAATTTAGGGGATTTCATATGGCAAGCAGGTGCTATTTATGCACGGAAGAGGAAGAAACTGTGTTCCACTTGTTCTTCTCATGCAGCATAGCAAGCTTCATATGGAAGTTTTTTTCCTCTTTATTTGGGCCGTGAGGCTTCCAGCCTTCAGTTCCAGCAGAAATGTTTGCTCTGTGGCCAAAGTTCAGAGGAAGTAATAAAGCAAGTATTGTTTGGAGCTGCATCCCTCTTGCAGTATGTTGGTCTATTTGGAGGGAGAAAAACAGAAGAGTATTCGAGAATAGGGCCAACAATATAGAATACCTGGTAGCTTTAGTGTCCAATCTGATATCAGAGTGAGTCCTTGGGCTCCCAGATTTTGATCAAGTCTCCAAAGTTGATTTAATGGAAAATTTTTGGGAGTTGCTTGAGTTACAGCCTTGTAATGTAGTTGAATTCTCAGTTTAATGTTTGGACATGTAATTGAAGTATGTACTTGAAGTTGTTGGTGTGTCATCTTGATTCTTCAAAAAAAAAAACAAAGAACTACATGAGTTCTTGAAATTTGGAAATATAGATACAAAATAAGGGAAGTGAAGAATCATTGGAATTGAGAACAAATAATAACTGGATTCGAAGATCTGCCAATGGCATGGCAGATGGGTTAGCAAGACAAGAAGTAAACAGAACTCAGTTGTGCTGGGGGCTGATTCCCCAAGGTGAAACTTTGTAACAAGAAATGACAAAGGATTAGGGGCAACTAGCAGGAGCTAGGCTAATATCAAGATTGCTTAGCGTATTGCTATTTGTATGCCATTCTTCATACATAATCAATAAAACCTTAACCGTTACAGATCAAAAAAAAAAAAAAAAACAGGCTGAAATATTTGAGCTTTATGATCACTGCTTTTATGTTGAAAACTATGCTTTCCATGCCATTTACATAAAAAGAATTTGAAAGGGTGGAAAACAAAATTTTTGCTGTAAAGAATTAGCCAATATTTCAGTCTCAATGCATTTTACAGAGAAAAAAAATGCAGTCTAGAATTCCTGTTTCAGTAACTCCACTTACTTTCTACATTTTTCACTTGGAGATTATTTTCCTCCACATATGCATAAACCTTTTCTACAAAATGAGATGCAATGACCATAATATCCTCAGTATATAAGAGGAATTCTTACCTTCGCCTTTCTTGAGCTTCAATAAAATTAGAGTAAACATTCAGCATGTCCCAAGCAACAGCCCTCTGAATCACAAAAGCCAGAGAAAGATTATTAGCAAAAACTTTTATGCTGATAGGAGTAGATGCAATGATAAAGAGAGAATATTCTGGGGGAGATAGAGAGAAAGAGAGAGAGAGAGAGAGAGAGAGAGAGAGAGAGAGAGAATTGAATGTAAAGAGAACCACTCTCCCTTCCCCTGAAAGGAAAAAGAAAAGAACAAACAAACAGAAAGGGAGAACTTAAGCTTCAAACTCAAAAGTCATAAAAGGCCCAATGCACATTCAACCATTGAGATTTTTTATTGGAAAGAGTAACTTTCATTCACTAATTAATAAGAAGTACAGAACAAGCTCCCCAAAGAGGAGTGCTGCACTCCACATAGCAGTTGGCTAATACAGTGCTGCCCAAAAAAAAAAATCAGCCATGGAGATCTCATATATAAGCATTATACTAATTGCAAAGGTTAAACAAAACGTATCTTAGAATCCTCTATCATAATTCATACATTAGGATAAACAAAGGGGCAGTGGGGCAGAAGCCAGCTTTACATAGGCCCTATCATTCCAGGCACCAAAAGTGACCCCGTTTCAATCATTGAAACCAGCTTATAAAATTGTTAGTAAACCTATTCTAATAATTTGTCATATAGAATCCCATCCGGGGATAGAATCCAGCATTCTTAGATCTATCTAGGAGATTCCATGTGCCAAAATTGTACCCATTCCGATCATCAAAACTAAGTAACCAACTGACTCCTGGTATCCTAATACGAGTCTGTACCACATAAAGAGGGAACATATCTCCATTTTCTCATCCTGGTGCAGTTATTTCTCATTCATCCCATTCACTGTTCCAAGGGGTGCTTTAAAATCTTTTTTGGAGTATAGATAGATACTACTTTCTAATTAAATGATAATCTTTGATACAAAGTGAGGGAATTAATTTACTAGAAGATATACCTGCCACCCCTGGTCAAGAAAGAGTTTTTCCTTGGCTAGTAAAGTTGGTGTGGCATGTAATCCCAACAATGCGCAGCCTCGACTCTGCACAACAATTTGGAATAAAACATATTAAGAAATTTGAACATTGACAGGAAACAGATCACAACTTTATACTCACAAATAAACAAAAACTTTAGAAATATAATGTGTCAATAGTATGACCCTAACAATGTGTTCATATAAGATGTCAGTGGATAGACTTGCAAATTCTTTCCGGTATATAGTTCTAAAATAAATAAATATCACATTGTATTTACAAAAAAAAAAAAAAAAAAATCATTCTCATGGATTAAGTAGGGAAATAAGAGGAAGCAAAAGCAGGGACCAAAAAAGGGATAATGAACTCCATAATCTTCCATCACCTTCATGAAACAAAGCATGGTGCAGAATCAGTTTCCTATTGGATCTAACTGTGAACATACCTCTAGGTACTTCCATTTACAATTGCTGATATTCACAAAATGGGTCCACAAGAGTCTCATTGAAGTTCTTATTAAGCATCAAAGGTTCCTTGATTTCTCTGGAAGCAACAGACAACAAAACAAAGAACTCCAACTCACTTCTCCTCTCACTTGAAAGCACATCTTGACCATTGAAGGGCCCATCTATAACACCATGGGCACACCTGCTTGAGTTTATCTGCCTCAAAGCAATGATCCTCCCAGAAATAAAAATTCTCCTAAATCTGGACTTTAAACTTGCAACTAGAAATGTGAAAATCATATGTCAACATTAACCTCTTCTGTACACAAATTACATATTGTTTTGGAACTTGATAAGCAATCCATGCTTTCCGGATGCTAAACTTCTCCATATAGCCTCTAGCTCCCACCACAATCATTTCTTTAACATTTGTTCAGTCGTTTTATACTCTAGGGTGATGACAATGACAAATCCCAACCCATCACTCCCTTAGGCCTGCCCACACACCACTGTCATCTCATTTAGCAATGCTTGAGCCAAACAAGACTAAATAGTGTCATGTGCTTTTGTGAACCTATAGAAATTAGAATGTGAATAGTCCAAAACATATGAATAAGGAATTTAATATCATGATCCATGAGTGTATGTATCAACTAGATAACCAACTAAGTGCTTTTAAAGCATATCACCTAGGCAACAAACCAGGTTAGTGGCATAACTAATGGGGGTAAATAAGTAACTAAAAATCAATCCAATTGTGATCTATATATTGAAGATTTTTTACACCAAAAAATCAATCCGATTGGATGAATTAACCAACTACAAGATTGTTATTTTCAAACTGGGTGGTGACAGTGTATTCTCTTAATCTGTCTAATGAAAGTTACCGTTTCTGATCAAAAAAATTTGATTAAAAAAAAAAGGATTGTACTCTTTGAAAAATAACTCGTTCATTTGATGGTTAGTACTTGGGAGGTATCAAACCAAGATTTTTTTTCCTAGCAGATCTACATTATGTCTATAATATTATGGTTCAGGTTGAAAAGATCTTCAAACTTCCATCTCAAATACACACACATTGAGAAAAGGTAGCTATATATATTTATTGTCACCTAGGTGTCTAGTTATCTACTCACTTAGCCAGGCCAAAATGTCTATTTAACACCTGGCTGTAAGCCTTATCCCTAACTTCACACCCAGAGGAAAATAAAAGAAGATGATGAATAAAAAACTCTAGTTTACAAGAACAGCTTATTCTTTGACAAAAGTTAATGACCCTGAAGATAAGGTAGGAAGGAAGCTACTACATTGTTTAGGTAATCAAGAAAAAAATCCCTATTACCTCCAAATTTCTGATCATCTGCTGTCCAAAGGGATCATCTGGAAGGATCTGTTGAGCAAAAGAAGAAGATTTTATACTATGGCCTATGGAAAACATTAAATGACAAAACTTAAGGAAACATTCATGAGAAAACCAAAGAAAAAGGTTGAACCTGCTCGTATAAGAAAAATATTGCGGTAGAAAAGGTTTTTGAAGCCCAACCAACTATAGCATGGATTGAATCTGGATCCAAGTATATTAGAACACACTCTGCAATTATAAATGTTGGCAAGCTGACAACAATATCAAGATGAAGCAGCTTAGTCATTTCTCAAACATGAATTATGACTGCCCTAGTCAGCCATGAACTGATAGGTAGACATCTCCCAACACTCAAAAAGAAACAAACGGAAAACATAAATGAGTCATGAAACATCACCACTTGTTCCCCTGCATGGATCAGTGATTTAAAAGGTGCACCTCAGGCGCAAAGGTGAGGTGCATTTTAGGGTATGCACCTCACCTAGGTCCTAGGCGCAGCCCTTTCAAAAGGCACACACCTGGTGCGCCTTTTCAAAATTTTACGCTATTTTGCTTTTTTTGAACTTAGTGGCTGGGCTGGGGGTGGAGCCCCCAGACCCCTGATCACATCCCTCAAGGCAAGCCCAAACAAGTCCATGTTAGGGTCTTAAAATGCACCTTGAGGGGCATGGTACAAATGCAGCTCATATAATAAGTAATGCAATATGTTTTACATCACATTAGCTACTTGAAATAATGCAATTGAGGAAAAAAATAGATTGTGGGATTTACATGCTTGAAAACGCTTTATATGTTTGATTTTATTTTTGAATTTTTATTTGGATATGCTTTTACATGTTATGTTTATGTATTTTAATTTTAGATAATAGGTTTTCAAAAACATTTATTTTAAAATTTAAGTTTATATTTTTTAATTATGTTTAATATTTTTTTGAATTTTTTTGCTTTTTTTAATTTGCTGACCTTTTTATTTTTTTAGCTTTTTTATTTTTGCGCCTTGCATCAAAAAAGTGTGTGCCTCGCCTTACTCCTCGAGCACAAGTTACCCCTTGTGCTTTTTCTGCACCTTGCACTTTTATAACACCGGCATGGATACAACTATAGGTACTGCTCCAGAAAGTAACATCAAGCAATTTTTCCAGGTAACAACATATATTAGAAACCAGAGAGCATGCTTGGGATTTGCTGTGGATGATGACCATTTGGTTGTGATAAAAATTAGCAAGAAAACCAACTTTTCTTTTTCTATTACTTCTAGTTCTTTCAACACGGGAACTGGTTAGCAGTTTTTTTCCTCTAGTTCTTCTATCACTTCCACCAGTCCCAATGGATTCCCCACAACCATACACTATTGCTTTACCACCTAACTACCTGGCCTGAAGTTTGGTCCTTGCTGTGATTGTTCTTTTGATTTTTGAGAAAGGTAAAGTATAATGTATTGCATTAAAATATAAGTATGGTCCTTTGTACAATGAGATGCTGTATTGTACATGTATGAGCCAATTAGTGTAGAGACAGTGAGAAGATCTAGCCGCAGGGCTATTTTTGTACTTTTACTTCTTTTGTTGTACATCTGGTATGTGAACATTGCAAGAAACCCAAGCACACAAAAGATACTTGTTGGAAGCTACATCCTCACTTGGTCCCADCAAAACTAAGAAATAAGAAGGGCAATGCTCATATGGCAGTGAACACTGATTCA